CAGAAGTCTAGGAATAATTAATTGGTGAACTGTTGGAATCATGGAAATAGAATGATTATTCTAATTCTATAGTTGGAATAATGTTTGACATGACAACGAATGAATAAGTCAGGGAGGAATTATTGACAGGGTATGAACCAAGTGTTGGTCAGTGTTTCCAGGTGACCCTAATGAGATTTTACATTACACGTTTTCTTACCTCATGTAGCTAGCTAACATAATCATGCTTCGTCTATTCCTCTCTGATTTAGAAGATACCATTGCACAAACGTTTAGAGATGATCCGATCGCTGATTACTTTGTTTTGTACAACACCCCTCATTTTAACGTCACCACAAACAACTTCAATGGTGGCAGTCTCAGACTGAAGTATGTAGCGAACGATAGAGCAGCGGAAGAATTCAGTTTGAGTCATCAGGCAAACGTTTGCTCTGACTTTGTACATTTAGCAAGCTACTAGAAAGCTAGCTAGCCAGCTAACCAGCGATTAGCAGCTAACAATATTTATTTTAGCCACAACTTGCTAAGAAAAGACAAACTAGCAGACAGTAAGATACACAAACTAATAGTGTAATTATAGAACGCTTGTGGAAAGTAGCATGTCACCAACATGTTGTTGCATCCATCTGACCATGCAGATTGCAGAGTGAACGGCAAGAAAGCACTTGTGACCAATGGTCCCTCTAATTTTATCCAGCACTGAGCAATTTCAGGTCTGCTGAGCGCAAACTTGAACTTTGTGAAAAATCTGTGCAACTTCCAGCGCTTTGAACACTGAGGCTGTATCCGCTTTAAGTTACAGTTTTAACAGTGGCCAAGTAGGATACTGTGGCTATTTGATCATAATGTAGGCCTACCAGTGGCCTATCATAAAAAACAATGGAGAAAATGCATCCCATAACATTTGAACATGGAAATAGCTGTTCTATCATTCAGCCTACTGTAGCAGCCAATGTGTGGTGTTCAATATAGGCCTACATTCCATGAGACATGCAGGGCTTGACTTTACCTGTTTATCCACTTGTCCTTCAGACAAGGAGGTGACTGAACATGTTGTGTTGTTTGATGTAAGACACCACTTTACAAAATAAAACACATTATTATTCCCATACCATTATTACAGAGAATCAGACAAATTATGCTACCCTCTGCCTATTGGCTACTTAGCTTATTCAAGCCTGTCTCAAAATACAACACTGCTCCTTTAAGACAAAAAAAAAGCTCTTTACCTGACTCGCTTTTCAAAGACGTCTAGAAATGTACACGTTTTGTGCTCTTATAGGAAGCAATCTCTCCCCTATTGCTGACTACAAATTATCTATAACTGGGCTAAAAACTCACTAACTAGCAAAGGATATGAACAAAATGTGCACGTGGCTACATGCAGTTCTCGCTTAGATCTCAAAACAAGCGCATTTACTCACAACCGCACAGCTGTAAACACCAGTTCAAAGTAAATGGCACAGATCCATATATGGCAATGGTCTATATGCATATAGGCCTACTGGAGCTCTGATTGGTTATGCCACACCGGTCTGTGTAGAGTACAGGCTGAGTCATGCATGTCAATGCAATAGAATCCTACTCTGATGCGTTCTGCCTACAACAAAATCTTTTGCATAGTTTGTTTTGTTTCGGTATGTTGCATTTCATGTGGCTAATATTGTGTTGATTCGATCACAATTGCCACGGTAAAGGGAAACGTTGATAGTGTTAACAGGGAAAACTCTAGAACAGTGGTCACCAACCTTTTCTGAGTCAAGATCACTTTGAGTCAAAGTGAGAGAGGGGAGAGAGCAGCAGACTGAGGGTCCGCCTCAACATCCCTCCGCTCTCCCTTTCCTCCACTGACACTGACCAAAAAGGGACAGTCTTCCAGCTGATAGTGAAACTCAAGTCGCACCACATCATTTCTGCCTCATGCACAAATTAATGTTGTTACTCCTATGAACAGAGAAAGTGAAATATTCCTTCATTTAAAAAAAGACCCAAGCCCCTAATAATAACAACAACGTAAGCCTGTAGATACACTTTCCTACTCATTCATTACTGCTGCAGTGCTTGTTGTAGTGCTGAGTGGAAATAGGAAGAATGCGCATTTTATGGCTTATAAAAGTGTTGAATACAAAGTGTTGACATTGCTGGGTAAGAACTTAAACATAAAAACAGCAGCTCTTTGCTGTATTCGTTGACAGTCTCTTTCTAGTCATGGTTTTAAATCTCACACTATCAACTTTGCTGTAGCTTTCTTTTATACCTGCTACTTTACTGCAGACACAGTAATCTGAGCCATCCGATTGGCCAGCGGTAGGCCTATAGTGCACTCGATTTGCTCTCTGGGCCCGCCGGGAAAGCAGAGTTTTTATCTTCAGACACATGAAACGGTTCAAAATGGCAACAGTTTGCCTACCCAGCGCACAGGGCAGCTGAATCCGGAGCACCTACCGCCAAAAGCCTGAGACTAATACAAAAAAAATAGGAACACAAGGCTTTATCGTTGGGTTTTTTACAGAAATGTTTGGCGATCGCCCAGGAATGCCTTGGAGATCGTCCACTGTTCTAGAAAGTTGAATGGAAGTTCAATCTCGTGCTTCTCTCTGTCGGCTGATATTTCTTCTGCGCTGTCCTGGGGGAGCTGCGGGGCAGTCTCGGGGCTACTCCGTGCCCGTGCGCACCTTCGAGGGAACATTGCTTGTGACTCTGTGGTCAATCAACTGCTCTCTCCTTGAGTGACAGGGGGAGGGCTTGGCGTGGGAAACGGCATAAAGTTGGAGGAGAGGGAGAAAGACAACTCAAGTAGCAAACTGAGTAAACTATAAAAACGGATATAACACGCGCCTGAGTTACGTATCACTTTTAACAAACCAAACATTGAAATACTGTTATAGAAGTGAAAGTAAAAACCCAATACCGGTCTGTGCATCAATACCGGTATATAGTCAAATACGGTATACCGCTCAGCCCTATATGGGCCTTACGTTGCCACTCACCAAGGACAGAGTTCTTAGCCGATTCCACAGTCATCAGCATCTTCCTGGGTATCCACAGAAACAGCTCCTCTGCCTGAGGAAACAAATGTTGTCAGAATGGACACTGACTGACATTGGGAGATTTGCTTGAATTACATGGATGGATCTAAAACTTAGCCCGTGATTTTAGTCCACCCCAGGCTTATTTGAATAACAGCATTCATTGTGCACTTAGTGAAAACTCATCCAAGAGTGTTAGCTACATCATTGAATAAACTCCCACCAACTCACAGAGAGAAATAGGAAGAGAAAGTGCCCTGCAGTGTTGCACGGTATACTGAAACTTCAGTAATTTTTCCATCCCCCTGTTTGGTACTTCTGTCAAATGTGTGTCACGTGATTGAGAGGATCAAGTCTGTCTATCAGCGCAGCCGTTTTATAGCAGGAAGAGGAAAGTGTCTGCTCCACTTATTCATTGCTAAAGCCGTCTGGGCTGCATTATTAGCTCCCCACTCATGCTGCACAGAAGTTAACAAACTTGAATAATGCAACACAGCATGTAGAAATGTTGAAACTGTTCACAAAACAATTTCGATACAGGCTAGAACACTTTTACAATGCAAGACATTACTGGTATCTTCCAGCTTTAATTGCAGGCTAACTTTCTTTGCTAGCTTACAGTGTCAATTCACTACCCTAGTACCATAATGCAAAATATGCGGATTTCACAAGTTGATTGTCAGCAAAAGCGTTATAAATGTACTTTGTCTCCCTCGCCACCAAAAGAAGAGATTACTTATTTTATGCAAATGTTGTTGATGAGTACAATAAAATAATGTTCTCCTAGCAGTTGCTAATAAAATAATAAATCTGTAGCCCAATGAAATTAGCATATAATTTTTTGTTTTTGTTTTAACCCTTATTTTACCAGGTAAATTGACTGAGAACACATTCTCATTTACAGCAACAACCTGGGGAATAGTTACAGGGAAGAAGAGGGGATGAACAAGCAAATTGGAAGCTGGGGATGATTAGGTGGCCATGATGGTATGAGGGCCAGATTGGGAATTTAGCCAGGACACCGGGGTTAACACCCCTACTCTTACGATAAGTGCCATGGGATCTTTAGTGACCACAGAGAGCCAAGACACCCGTTTTACGTCCCATCTGAAAGACAGCACCTTACACAGGGCAGTGTCCCCAATCACTACCCTGGGCATTGGGAGAAAATACATTTGACCAGAGGAAATATTTCCTCCCACAGGCCCTCTAACACCACTTCCAGCAGCATCTGTTCTCCCATCCAGGGACCGATCAGGACCAACCCTGCTTAGCTTCAGAGGCAAGCCAGTAGTGGGATGCAGGATGGTATGCTGCTGGCCAGTAACTCAATGTATGCATCGCACACACTCCTATTGAATAATATTCATTCACCTGTATTGTGATTTACCCAGTTTATCAATAGATATACCTTTAAAATAAATTATTACCATTGTTGTTTTGTAGTTAGATTGGTTAAAACAAAGTCAAATTGATTGCATAACTGATTAATTAATGCATAGATGGCTGTCTCAACAAAATGGACATAAAATGTTCAAATGTAATGATATTGAACTCAAAAGATGCCCAATGATTTAACAGAGCAGTAGCTGAGTTTATCTGTATGGATCTTGATACTAAACCTGGTATCGGTATCAAAGTCATAATTCTGTTATCGTGACAATACCAGAGCCCTGGGCTTCATACGAACAGCTCGGTCGGTTTGTTCGATCAGACCTAAACGGCAGCCATTTTAGAACATCAATGAGGGCTGTTTGGTGGGTCATTATGAGAAGAACACCAATAAGAGAGAGTTAGGCCTAGTTTCCTCTGTTGAAATATAATCGAGGAGCTGATCAATCTATTGGTAGTCTATGGAGGAAGCCTCAGGTCAAGGCCTTTCTCTTCCTTAAAAATACATTGGGCGCAATTTTGTTAATTAGATGAACTTGTCCAATAAGAAACTCTTATTTGCATTGCAAAAACGTTTTGCTACAGTGTGCACTAATGAACAAGACCCAAGTGATATGTCACCCTGACAACTGTTGCCATGGACACCGGTCCGGTCGTAGCGACCAACCTTGATGTCCTTGGTGGCCCTGAGGCCGAAGCCCTCGCCGGCGAAGTTAGCGATCTCAAAACCCTCGCAGGACGCTCCACTCTCCTGAGCCCACGCCATCAGCTTCGGGAAGAACTCCTCTCTGCTGCCCTCAAATATCACTGAGATACCTGGGAAAGAGACGGAGAAACACACACACAGTTATGATCAAACGGAGAGTTCTTCCTATTGAATCTATATAGGCCATGGCTCAAATCCAGCTGTGTGTGTGTGTGTGTGTGTGTATGCCTGTGTAGTAGTAGTAGTACTACATTTGACTACATTGTGTGTGTGTGTGTGTGTGTGTGTGTGTGTGTGTGTGTGTGTGTGTGTGTGTCAGGGTTTCCGTTAGGAAAATGTGGCACCGGACAACGTAACGGGAAGATTTTAATTTACCGGCCATTTGAGAAATGTACCAGACCCATATGCATTGGGTGCATAACCCATTAGGGCATCCACCCACGGAGCTCAGAATGACAGAAATAACATTTAGATTATAGTAATGCATCTTAAAGAACATGCAACTCATGTAATGAAGCAGCCAATAAAACTTAATTTTCTAAAATTTGCCAAAATGCTATTTGCAGGGGAAAAAACTATTCTAAACAGCACACCTGGGAAAAAAACATTCTAAACAGCGCACCTTATAGCGGTTCCATATGTGACAGAGATGAAAATCTCTGTTAGAAACGTAGAAAGAGGGGGAATCTAAAGATGCAACAACTAGGATGGGTTGCTAATATGACTAGGATTGTGCGTTTGGCTTTTGGACAATGAAATAAAGTTGATATGAAAACCAGTAGAACAGGAGAGAAATGGCATAGTGGTGGGTCCAATAGGGAAGTAAATGGAAATAAATGTAAAAATGATATAACCACTACCGTCTATAAAGAAATACAATTATTCAAAATACTTCACCAGAAAGCATGACTTAGCCACAGAGGAATCGGGGATCATTAGCGTCTTTATATTTTTTGCTGTGGATTGTTTCAAAACACAAGCTCATAGGCCTATACCTATTTGGGAAGCCTGCAATTTGGGCAGCGCGTGTGGCAATAGGCCTAGCTGATTATCGAGTTGCGGCTGTCAGTGAAAAGCATTTAATATGTGTGAAGATAATGTGTCTTGAGTATAAATTTAAAATGTTGAGACAAGAAGGGGAGGGGTGTGTGGTGAAGATATAGGGGATTCTCTCTCTAGAATGGCTCAGCTGTCTCCCACCAATTCTTGTTCATTCATTGTTTCATTGTGTGAATTGTTTGCCAGTCATTTACCGTTCTCATTCTCGGAGAGTTCCCAACCTGCTACACTTATAAGAAACACGTTTTGGTTTATTTCACAACAAACATTTACAAGCTTTGTCAATTTTTTCATTGTCTTTTGTTTGGAGTGCTCCATGTGAGCAATGAGCACGTATCTGGTTTCTCTGTCCTGATAATGTTGGAGTGAGCGTGAACATGAGCATGCATAGAAGTACCTGGTCGGCTGCACGGAAAAGTAGCAGAGCGTCTTTTTAACATCCATTGAGAATATATTAAAACTGCAGTTCCTCACAGCAAGCTATTTGAAAAATCTTTCCAACAATTTCGATAAATCACCAATCCTCAGCGTGAAAGAGCAATGGAAGTTATAGGCCTACTGTTGCATTGGCCTAGGGCTATGAGTTTCATGCGCTCATTTTAGCCAACAATGGATCACTGTTGGTTCAGGTTGGTGATCTCGCATTAGTTGACTTTTAAACTTTTAGATGTATTATTTTAATTCTGATTTTTATGATTAACCACATGACAATGATTTTGATCAACAGAAATTTTAGTATTGAAATGAAACTATTCCACGAAAATGTGCATATGAAAATCATAACTGGCCCGCAGAACGGTAGAAATGGTAAGATAAATTGTAAGCTTCCCCAAACTTTAAACTCACATGCCGCTTATGAAGTCTTTAAATACTTGCCTCATAATATGAAATAAAAAAAATGCAGGTTTCAAACAATTAAGCATGTTTTCAAAATGAACCACATGAATGGTGAATGGGAGGTGCGCTTCAATTACTAGTTGAGAAATAAAAATATTAGTCCTCTTTAAATCGTACACCAAAACTGTTTTTAACAGACGATTGCATTTGGAATTGTTGTGCAATGGACGGGCTTATAAAAGCCATTGTTTTACTCCAACAGCAGCTGGCGAGCTGCAGGGGAAATCCCACTTTTCATTTACTTATTTCTTGGCCAAAAGCCGGCTAAAGGAAACCCTGGTGTGTGTGCATACCTTTCTGTTTCTTCCTGATCTTCTCCACCAAGCCTCGTATCTGGACGTACTCCTCCCACTCTTTCCCTGGAGAAGGGGCAGCACTGCTGCATTCTAACGGGACATACATGGGGAAACCTCACATTATAAGTAACATAAGGTAATCCCATAGGGCCTGTTTCCCCAGACACAGATCAAGCCAAATAACTTTCCATGGACACAGAATCTCAATTGAAAATGTTTCTTAGTGTTATGAGCCCTTGTCAAAAGTATTACACTATATAGGGAATAGGGTGGCAGCCCAGCTACGTACTCAGTAAGAGCTCTGATATGAGGTTCATCATCTCTTTGGGGGAGACCACGGCCATGGCGCCAGTCCCCGACTTCTGAATCTTCACTCGACTCTTCTTTCCCATGGTGCAGCTGGACAGAGAGCAGGACAGGGACTGGGGAGGAGAGACAGACAGCACAAAGTCATTCACTCATCTAAAGCAGATTCTTGGGAGAGAAGACACATTACAAAATCACTCATCTCTGTTAACCCTGAAGTAAAATCTTTGTTCAGCTGCGTGATTAACGTCGGTGTTCATACGTGTTAGAAACTGAGAGTTCCGGCAAAAACATGTCTTCATCCTCACAAGAGGAAACGCTCAGCCAAAGCCCCCTTCCGATCCATGTGGGCACATGCGAAACACTAGAGGTGAAGCAGTTTAGGCACTGCCTTCACCCAATCCTGATACGTCCAGATAACCAGTGACCAAAAAATTAAACAAAAATTTAAAAAAGGGATTTTCGAATCTCACACATCCCATTAATCTCTCGGTCTACAAGCAGAATCTGCCCACGGGAGATTACAAAATTACATTTCTAAATCAAATCCAATTTTTTTGTTCAGAGTCGTATTCACTAGTCACCACCAAACGTAAGAAAAAAAGAATTGAAACTAGGAGGGATAGACTACCTAAAAATGTCCAATAAGAAATGTGCTTTCCCATAGGGCTGTGACAGTTATGGATGAAGATCGCGATGAAAATAACTTTTACAAACCGTTTAAAATAGGCCTACATTCATTTTTATTAACTTTATTTTCATGTAGATAAACTTTACCTAATAGCGGGAGTGTTTACTAATGATTATAAGCAATTGTTTTGCTAACTTAGTCTGTCTATTAAAACTGTCTACATCTCTTCCTCTTTCCAAATGTCGTTTGATGCTCAAGCAGCTAATCCGCTAGATGGGGGCGCTAGCTATGGCTAGCTATGGCTATAGGCTATGGCACTTCAGGAAAATATCATATTTGATGTGTGGACTTTCCTTTTATACAATGCACGTTTTCATTGCTTGCTAGTAAATAAATAGGTCTTCTTTTAAAAAAGAAGACCCATCTGATTATTCATTAATTATTCAACAGCAGTCAACAACATTGTTATGGCTCTGAGGCCTATAAGGCGCTAATGTTGAGTCAAATGGACAATACGCCAATCCGATCCAACCTGGCATGGTATACCTTGATACAGAATATTTTCTTAATTTATAGACTAATCAACGCTGATAAATAGGCTATTGACATGTTGTGTGTATTTGTTTCTATGTTAATGATTGTCAATTTCATCTTCATACTATCACATAGCTGTCTCTCTACCCTTCATACTTTCCTTGTCAATGTATTATCTTATAGCCTACTTTCGGAAAGCCTAAGGTTTTTTATACGTTTTAAGGAAAGGAGAAATACAGTTGAAGTCGGAAGTTTATATACATCTTAGCCAAATACATTTAAACTCAGTTTTTCACAATTCCTGACATTTAATCCTAGTACAAATTCCCTGTCTTAGGTCAGTTAGGATCACCACTTTATTTTAAGAATGTGAAATGTCAGAATAATAGTAGAGAGAATTATTTATTTCAGCTTTTATTTCTTTTATCACATTCCCAGTGGGTCAGAAGTTTACATACACTCAATTAGTATTTGGTAGCATTGCCTTTAAATTGTTTAACTTGGGTCAAATGTGTCGGGTAGCCTTCCACAAGCTTCCCACAATAAGTTGGGTGAATTTTGGCCCATTCCTCCAGACAGAGCTGGTGTAACTGAGTCAGGTTTGTAGGCCTCCTTGCTCGCACACACTTTTTCAGTTCTGCCAACACATTTTCTATAGGATTGAGGTCAGGGCTTTGTGATGGCCACTCCAATACCTTGACTTTGTTGTCCTGACTTTGTTGTCCTTAAGCCATTTTGCCACAACTTTGGAAGTATGCTTGGGGTCATTGTCCATTTGTGTGTGAAATAATCTGTCTGTAAACAATTTTTGGAAAAATTACTTGTGTCATGCACAAAGTAGATGTCCTAACCGACTTGCCAAAACCATAGTTGGTTAACAAGAAATTTGTGGAGAGGTTGAAAAACCTTCAACCTAAGTGTTTGTAAACTTCCGACTTCAACTGTGTTTGCTTGTGTCTGACATACGCTGGTGGCTTTGATTGACGGGTCCTTTTGCGGGTGTGTGTGTGTGTGTGTGTGTGTGTGTGTGAGTTTGCTGATTCTCTCTATATGTCCATTTAGAAAGTTTCCTAAAGTAGCCTGTCTGGACTCTCTCCTTAATAAGAACCAAACACTCCTGTCATAATTTCATCTTGTAAAAGGCCTATTTTCAGTAAAAGACCCTTTCTCACCAAGTCCGTTAATGTCGTCCGAATAATTAAGAAGAAAAAAATGTATACAAGCACGTCTCGTTTATGACACCGTTCACACCAATTGCGAAATAGCCGTCAATTATTTATTCAGAACACATTCTATTTTAGCATCTTTTCGCATGCGAAAATAAGTTGTTGACCAATATAAATTGTTATCTGGCACACTGCCACTGACAGGACTGTGGGTCGTTGTGTGAATTCATTAATTAATAAATTTCTCTCTGCCTGTTCTTTACCTTTGCAATGCATCAGTGCAGTAAGGTATCAATTTAGCCAAAGTGATCGCATCACACCAGAGCTAGGCTACACGTCGCTCTCGCCAATGTAGCTATTTTATAGCCATTAAGCATGCAAGAGGATTGATCAATGCTTCTCCAGGCCTATTCGTTTTTAAAAAATTGCTCGAAATAAGTTTCAAACTATATTGCTGTTCATTGTCTATACACTGAGTGTACAAAACATTATCTTTCCAGGGCAGGTGATGTCACCTGTTAAATCCATTTCAATCAGTGTAGATGAAGGGGAGGAGACAGGTTACGGGTGAATGGACAAGACAAAAGATTTAAGTGCCTTTGAACGAGGTATGGTAATAGGTGCCAGGTTTGAGTGTCTCAAGAACTGCAACACTGCTGGGTTTTTTTACGCTCAACAGTTTTCCGTGTGTATTAAGAATGTTCCATCACCCAAAGGACATCCAGCCAACTTGACACAACTGTGGGAAGAATTGGAGTCAACATGGGCCAGTCAACATGGGGGGGGGGGGGGGGCAACTCAATATTAGGAAGGTGTTCCTAATGTTTTGTACATTCAGTGTATATAGGCCACTCGTTCAAGAGCTAGAAAGAGGGGGAAGAAACAGGCTAGTGGAGTTGCCAGCGGAGATGTGTGAATTGCGCAAGAAGGGAACAGTGAAGACAGAGAGATGTGTAAGTTAGAAATTAATATATTCATTAATGCATCATTCGTATAACCTATACATTTACAGGCCTGCTAAAGTGAATCTAAGCGACCACCTGTGCTATAGGCAAACCTAAGAGACAGAACATTTTTTTACCCTCATCAATAAGTGGTTGCACAGATTTAGATAAAGCACTCACTCAAATTAAAAAAATTGTGACAACATAACCACCCATTGCTTCACTAAAATTGATCAAAGGCTGCTATCAGTATGACAGTTGCATGCGTTGCATGCATGTTCTATTTGTAAGGTGTAATTTCATATCCTGCATACGTGTCTATACACCAACTCCTGCATGAAGAAAGGCACATGATTGCATACCATATGACTTTGATCCACGAGTGAGAGTTTAATGTTTGGGAAAGACAATGGATGCTAGTTCGTAGATGCTCGCGGCTTGAGGTCCTTGTGGTGGGTGTTGTATAGTGTGTAGTGGAACTCCTAGGATGCGCAGTGTCTAGGCACTGGCATCGCAGTGCTAATGTTGCACTAGGATCTGTTCGAATCCAGTTCTGTCCACACGGCCGCGCCGGAGACTCATGGGCGGCGCCACAATTGCCCGTCTCAGGGTATGGGGAGGGAATGGCCGCAGTGATGTAGCTCATTGATAGATGGCTTTGTAACGCCAGGGTTGGGGTTCGTTCAAGGTGGGCCAGTAAAAACAAATTGTATTCACTTATGTAAGTCGCTGGTGAAGAGCGTCTGCTAAATGACTAAAATGTAAATGTAAATGTAATGTAAATGTATGAGTTCACTAATTCTCTATGTCCATTCAGAAAGTTTCCTAAAATAGGCCTGTCTGGACTGCATCTCATTAATCAGATAGAAAAATAGACTTGTTGCAGGATCAGCATGCAGTATGTGCGAGGAATGATGACAGGTGTCAGTTTTGCATTTCCACTCTTATTAAAATGGGGTGCAACTGAATGAAATGTAGTCAAGCTCCTTTCATGATTCATCCTATAGGATGCAAAGCCTATATCCACAATTTTTTCAGTAGCATATTATTTTTCCAGTAGTATATGATTTATCTCATTAACGTGTCCTCTCCAGACATTTTGAACAACATATTGCCACAGAGAATGACCACAGCAGCATTGATGACTTTATACGAAATGTTTGGAAAAGTGGAAGGAAAAATGCATCGTAGTCGGTGTGAACGGTTTAGTGCGTCAAAATCAGAATCTGTATTTTCTTTGGAATTCCTCTCCAATCTGACATTTCTTAATTTGTATACTAGACTAATATTGTGAGAGAAGAATGAAATGCTACTATAATAACAAAGTGTAATGGTACTAGTGAAGTTGCAGAGAAAAGGCACGTGTTTCTTTTGAGTCTGATATGCGGCAATCCCCCCACCCCAATGGTTATGTCGTAGACCGTGTACATTGGCCTGGCCAATTACCGTAACCTCAAATTCCAAGACCGTCACAGTCCTACTTTCCCATTGTAAAATGTTTTGCTACGGTGTACACTTATGAATA